CCAGCTTGTTTTTGTGAAGGAAGCATCTTGTCACATGGGTACATTTTTGGACTACCTTGGTTCTAAGCAGACCAAGCACCCCATCCTGGGTCCCTTTCTGGACTGTATAATGTGGATAAAGAGGGCTTATTCTTGCCCTGCAAAAATGAGGTGCTCCTATCTAGGGAGGAAATGCTGTGTGTGACTTCCTTCTTTCTCACTGGCCTGTGGAGTGTGGCTCCAGCAAGCAGAAGCTCTTACCACCTGGGCTGCCGGCCACGAGTGCCTGCCCCACACCATGGGCAGTACTGTGGAAGGATATCTGAAAATGTACGAAATCTGGGTGTGCCCAGGGGGTGGTTCCAGCAAGGTGGGTTCAGCCAGGGCACCTTCAGACTATCTGTCCCCACCCCTAAGCTTGGGAAAACTGAAGACTAAGTGAATAGAAGAATGGAATAGTTGAATGAGTGATGCAAAAGATTTCCAGCCTGGAAAACTGAAAATAAAAACCCATGAAACTAAGAGTAAAAATAAAATAAAGAATATGGTAATATAAATGGTCAAATAAAGCAAATACAAGCTGAGAAACAGTAAAAATGAAATGAAAGAGTTTGACAAGAAGGTGTAAGGAAGACAAAGTAGAGATGGGCAACTGACATACAATGAAAGGCAGCTACTGGGGTAGGGGTGAAATAAGCAACAAATAGTTTTTGTTTTTGTTTAAGAAAACCCTGGTGGGTTAAGAGGGGTTTCCTGAGCTCAGATACGGGCAGGGAGTGGGTTCCCCGGAGTCCAGGGGTCAGGCCCAGCCTGGAATTGTGGTTGCAGGGCTCCAAGCCTGGATCCTTCTAAGAGGCTGGCTAGCCCCTCCCTAGGCAGTTGACCCCCAGGCCTTGGGTTGGTGTCCTCCTGTGTACTCTGGAGAGCTGGTCTTCTGTAACAAAACCTGCAGAGAACTCCCCAGGCTGGGCCTTGGTCTCTTGTGCTGGCAGTACCGTCATGCAAAACCTGGGCTGAATTGTTTTAGAAATCCATAGGGCCTGGGTTGGCTCTATGATGGAGAGGGCATAAGGCACTCTTTCAGAGTACAGTACCATGTCTAGTGCAGGGGTTCTCTAGAAGAAACATGATTGGGGAGGGGACACCTCTGCAGGAGTTGGGCATCGATGGTTCTATAGGGAACAGGTAGCTCCTCAGGGACTGTGCCAGGGACTGGGAGGGTCAGGACTTCAGCTTGCCCTTCCTTAGACCAGTTTTTGGTGGGGTGAAAAAGAAGGTGACAGAGAGAGAAGAGGTCTGATATTCTGGAACGACAGAGGTTAAGTTACAATGATTTTGGCTTCAAAGAGGACAACCATGGCCTCTCTCTTCATCTTGACATTTAATTTGCAGCTTTGGTGGCAAACTGCTGGCTTCCAGTAATGTTCCAGTTGAGATTCTTGATGGCCCCAGTTTACTTTTTTGCACCCTCCTTCAGTTTTCTTGTGTGTAAAATGGTAATGCCATCTTACTGGTAAGATGTAGGGTACTGAGCACAGTGCCTGCCTGTGTAAGTGTAGTTAGAATCAGTATAACTGATGATCTCTTTAAAAGAGCAATCCTCTGTGTTGGCTGAACTCTGTGCAAAAGTAAGATTTATCGACTCAGTTTTAATTTCTGTGGATATACCTTTGTGTAGTGAGGAGCAAAACCAACAGGACTGAGTCCTTGGTCTGCCAGTAACTCACCCGGTGCCTTGGGCAAGTCTCTCCTTTCTCGGAGCCTCAGTTTTCCCTTCTGTGAAATAAGTATGTATCATATGCCCCTGATACTGCTCATCTATCTTCTCTAACCAGGTTGTCACAGTAAGGGGTGAACTTGTTCATTGGGTAGAGTTGCTTCCCCTGAAGTTAGGTTTTGGGCAGGAAATTTTTGCAGTCCCAGAAGTTATCAGGGCTTAAAGGGACTGGGCTGGCCAGGATCAATAAGTAATTAGGGGCTTGATGGGCCCAATAAAGCCCCGATAATGTCCCTGAACCTAGCAATCCCTAGCAAACTATTTGAATCCTGGCAGAGAGGATTCAAATAGTGTTGCTGGAGGTGGGTGTGCAGAGGGCTCCAGTGATCTCTGGGCCTGCCTCCCAGCTCTAGGAAAAATGGGACCTGTGCAGAGTGCCCCTTGTGGCCAGGCCAGGAGTACCCAGGGCATTCCAGTCTGGCAGAGAATAAGAGGATGAGCATTTGGGGATGGTGAAGGATCCCACACTGCGGGAGGTGGAGGGGAAGGGGGTACCCAGGGGAGGGGGTGAGGTTGCCCCAGGCCAACAGCTTCTAGTGGGTTCCAACCTGAGCCATTATCCTCAGGTCCCAAACCAGAGAGACCTCATCATCCACTTTATCATCCAAACTAGAAACTGATATAAGTCTTTCCCAAACTGTGTGTGTATGTTGGTGCGTTGCCCTCTTAATATTTGGAAGTGGGTCTTATGGCTTGTCTCACTGCAATCATGCCACCTCTACCTAGCATAATGTACATCAAGAAAAACTTCAGACTGGTTTAGCAGTATCACATGCCTACTCTGCTAACACTACGGGGGCTCTACCAAGTGAGTTTGGGGCCCTTCACCTTATGGCTCTTGACTTCAGGTTTGAGTGCCTGACCACAGCCACAATCCTTCCATGGTGTAAAGAGCCACCACAGGAACCAAAGTGTTATATAATAAAATCCTTTATTTCTTTTCTCCCTACACCCAGTGAATGGTGGAATTTCGAGGGAATGAGAATAGAGGCTTGGGGGATTGGAGAGGTTGGGTGGGGTGTGTTTTACAATTCAGGGCCTCTAAGGCAGGTTTCTTGAAAAAGGGCTTTTGCGTGGGTACCACACTCAGCCTGGTGGCCTAGCCTCCCACAGGCATAGACATTCCTCTCTTCTCACCCTCTGGCCTCCTCATCCTGGAAGTCACTACCTGCTTATATGGTTCCTTGTAATTTCTCTAACCCAACTTCTCCTCTCCACCAGGCTGCCCCTACCCAGCTGAGTCGGTCACATCAACCACTGCCAAGACTGCCTCACTGCTCTCCCTGGCCCCATCTGCACAGGCTCCTTTCACTTTCCAAAGTGAAATTTGCCAGTAACTCCTCCATGGGCCAGCCCAGTCCCTGATAACCTCCATGGCTCACAGCTTGGGACACACACACACACACACACACACACACACACACACACACTTCTTTTTACTTCATGCCTTGGCTGGCTAATAATCTGGCTGGCTAATAATCAACATCCAAAGCCTGGAGGCTTCCCTTTCTTCTCCCTTGGTAACGCCCACTCAGCCTTTAGAACAGTCACCTCCTCCAGGAAGCCTTCCCTAACCCTGTATTCCAGGCTGTCTCAGAGCACAGGATTCACCTGTGCATACATAGCTCATTCAGGGAACTTGCCACATCTTTTAATGATCTGTTTTTGTGTCCGTCTCTCCCACTGCGTGGGGAGTTACCGGCAAAAGGTTGTTGCTGAACCCCTCAGAACCCCGCGTGCCCAGTGCATGGCTTGGACCCCGGCAAGGGGCCTTGGGGCCAGACCTACGACAAGGCCAATGGAGGCTCCCGGGCTTGCGGTAGTGGCCCCTTGCATGAAGCTCTTCCAGGCGCGCCCAAATCGAACTTCGACGGAATCCAGATCCGGGAAGGCTCAGCTGCCTCTCCGAAATCGAGGGTGTGCCACGTGGAGCCCAGTCCACCTCGGACTTGGGTAGGGTGTGGAGTTGCGCGTCTGCCTTGCGACCACTTCCCAGGCATAAGTCCAAACAGCTTAACGCTAAAACTGGTAGTCGCCTGCAGGAGGTAATTCACCCGATGGCAGAGAGAGCCCCACTCGGCGCTGGCCGCATGGAGCCGGCTCTCCGCCTTGGCTCGCGCGTGAAGGCTCGGTGCAGGCTCGGAGTCTGAGAACACCGGCCGCTTGGAAGGCTCCTCACGTCCAGTCACCGCGGTCACGGCTGCGCCGGTTTCCGGCCATGAATTGTGCTTCAGAGTCCGAGCCTCCTGCCCGACTCCTGGCTGAGCGCGGGTCCCGCGGGGCGGGGGATGGGTGCACGCCAAAGTCCGGGCAGCAAGCTGGGATTCGAGCCCGCCGTCCCCGGTCTGTTCGGTGACGCTCGGCCGCAGCCGGTCCCCTTTGATTCCCCTTGCATCCCGGTGCCCATCTCGGCGCCCCGCCCCGTCTCCCTGCCGACCCCGTGAGGGTTTCTATGCCTCAAGCGTGGTGGATAGCCCGAGATGCTCGGCTGCTGAGGTCGGCAGGTACCAGGCGCTCCAGGACCCTCGGAGGGCAATCAGTGGCCGACGCTTCTCCGTCCTCCCGCCCCTGGCGAATAGGGAGGGGGGCGCAAGGCCCAGGGCCACCAAGTCTCTGCGCGCCCAAGCCCCGGTCGACCTCCGCCACAGTGCTGGCCTCTGAGCATCCCCCAGGCCGGGAGCACCAAGCACCCGGTGCCCCCTCCGAGTCGCGAGCAGGGGAGCGGCGCTCGGCGAAGCTGAGGCTCCGCAGTCACGTGGTCGAGAGGAGGGCGGAGGGGCGGGAGGCGGGCAGGGAGGGGAGGGGGAGCGGAGCCGAGGGGGAGGGGGAGGGGAGGGGGCGTCCTCCGCAGTTCGCTCCTGGCCGGGGCTCAGACACACAGCGAACCCGGAGCCGCCGCGCCGGCCCGGCCGCCGCCACCACTGCCTCCGCCGCCTCCGAAGCCGCCCAAGCCGCGGGAAACGCTGCCGCCGCCGCTGCCACTGGCCGCCCCCGCTGCGCCGGCCTGGGCTCGGGCTGCCACCGCCGCCGCAGCCGCCACCGGAGCCGGAGCGGGAGCCCGACCGCGCGGGGCTGGGCTGGCCTGGGGCGGGAGGGGGGGGCGCCGGGAGCAGGGGCGGGCGCGCGGGGGGAAGACGCACGGGCGGGTTCGGCTCTCCCGGGGAGCGGCCCGGGACTGCACCCGGACGGGCGCCTCCCCGCTCCGCGCTGCCCTCGGCCTCACCCCGGGCCCGGGCGGATGAGCCGCGCGCCTGGGGGACATGGAAGCGCTGACGCTGTGGCTTCTACCCTGGATATGCCAGTGCGTGTCGGTGCGGGCCGACTCCATCATCCATATCGGTGAGAGCAGCAGGCGGCCGGGCATAGGCAGGGCGGGGGCCTCAGCAATGCTGGAGGTGCGCGGCATCCAAACTTGGCTGTTCCCGGGTCCGAGGGGCTCCGCGGGCGGTGCTCCATCGAAGGGCCGCGCCGCCCCGCGGAGGAGCGGTGCACGGGCCGCACCGCGCTCCAACGGGCCCCTCGCCGCTCCCCCTAGCTCCATTCCCTGCACGGGGTCCCTCGGCCTCTGCCAACACTTAGGGCCGCGGCTTCGGGGAACCCGGTCATGGACACGCTCCCAGGCCCGTACCCCTGGAGGAGCCGTCGGCGGGCTACGGCCAGTCCTTCGGCACAGCTCAGATCAGTGGGGAGCAAGGGGCGGAACGGGCCTGGGGTCTCGCCAAGTTGGCAGGGCAGAATCAGGAGAGGCCCAGCCGGAACCGTGTGTTGTGGGTGGGTGCTGTCAGTATGTGTCGCTGTGTGTGCGCCTGGCACCGTGTTGGTATCACTGCCAGAGGGCTTTGGGATGTGTGGGACTGAGCCTGTGTTGGTGAGTGCGCGACTGTCAGCCAGCCTGTTAGAGTGGACCCAGTGTTTGTCTGTTTCTCTTGTGTGTGTGTGTGTGTGTGTGTGTGTGTGTGTGTGTGTGTGTGTGTATCTGGTTGTGGCGGCTGCAGCCCAATCCTGGACAGTCCCAGAGTTTCCTGAGGTTCAAGTCTTGGGGGCCAGCAGACACTCCGGGTTGTAGGAGCCCAGGGAAGAAGAGCGTGGGCGGCAGCGGTGGCGCTGGTGAGGGTAGTGTGTGTGCGCGCGCTGAGCGGGAAGAGATGGAGGGAGAGAACCGGTAGGGAAGATGAGAGTGGAAAGAAGGAGGGGGTGGACGGAGAGGGAGTGTGTGGGAGTTGGTAGCAGCAGGAGAATAATTCTAGGAAGTTGGGCTGGGTTGGGGGGTCGAGGGCGGTTGATTTGGGTGAGCCCCTTTGCAGTCGCCTCTCCGGAAGTTGGGGAAGACCAGAGAGCACCGAGAAACAGGGCATTCAGAGATGTGAGAGGAGGCCCGAATGGTGGGACTGGCAGGGCGGGACAGGGGGAGTTTGGGGTAGAGAGGGGAGGTGGAGAGGGGTGGTGGGGTGGGTTTGGTGGGCTGCATCACCCCCCTCCCCTTGCCGGGGGCCAGGGGGTAAACCATCTTCCCGAAGTGGTTGGGTGTGGGTGGGTGGGCGCTCGGGTCTTGTGGTCAGCATTGTGGCTCTGGGTGCATCCAGGAACTGGGGGCCTCCCTCTGCCTGCCCAGCCACCAGCTCCAGGAGGATCATTGGGCCTATCTCTTGGGTCGTGGGGATGACTCCGGAGTTGCCCAGGCTTCATGGCCGGGCCGGGCGACTTGGAAGCTCAGAGTGGGCCAAGGTGGTGCTAAGCTCGAAAAAGGCCATCCAGAGGCCGCCCTGGAAGAGCTCTTAGCGATTCTAGAAGGACCTTTCAAGATAAGCTCTCTTTGGGCTTCTCAGCCCTGTTGGGTCAGAAGGCAAGGGGTCTAGGGGACATTCCCCTCCCCACAACATTCAAGCAGGAAGGAGCAGCAGGGAGAGATGGAGAGCAGAAGTCGGAGTCCAGGGGTCAGGCTGGATAGTGTTGCAGGGAAGCCAGGCTGGCACTGAAATGCTGGTTATTCAAGGCCCCTGAATAAGAAAGCCCCTGGAGCAAGAAAGCCACCCCAGGCCTGCCTGCTTAGCTCCACACACAGGGGAATGTGCTGGGCAGAAGGAAGACATCATTCCGATTTTGAGTTTGGGGCAGGGTAACTTTCTGGCTCCTGAGATGTCAGGGTATATGTGTGCTATCTGAGGTCACTCCAGCTTGGCTCAGTCAGTTGTGTGGGGCATAGCCGGGTCACGAGGGGGCTTGGCTGTGAGAAGTGGTGGCAGCATCTGTGATGTGCATGTGTAATTCATGTTAACTGTGCATATGTGTGCTGTGTATGTGTGTGGGGGGCATCCTGTGCTGATTGACTTAGGAAAGCCTTCAACTATTCTGAAATGCCAGCCCAGAACTCCCACCACCTGGCAACCAGAGGTCCTGCCAGCCCCAAGACCAAGGCGGGGGTAGGGGTGGGGGTCGGGTGGGGTTGAGGTGGGGAGGGAGGGCTCTCCAGGCCAGGTCTTGACCCCTCCTGTTCTTCAGGTGCCATCTTCGAGGAGAACGCGGCCAAGGACGATAGGGTATTCCAGCTGGCCGTATCTGACCTGAGCCTCAACGATGATATCCTGCAGAGCGAGAAGATCACCTACTCCATCAAGGTCATCGAGGCCAACAACCCGTTTCAGGCCGTGCAAGAAGGTGAGTGGCCACGGTGCCCAGGGCTAAATGGGCCGCGGCCTTCCAGACTGCGCAGCAAAGACCTGCGGGGTTGCGATGGGCTTGGCTGTACGTGGAGCCTCCTGTGTGCCTGCCTGGGCAGCCGCGGTACCAGCCACAGTGCTCGCTCTTCGTCCCTCCCCAAACCAGCTACGCTAGTAGTGCTCTGCGCAGCGGGGCCGGGGCGGGGAGCTTGCGAGTGCTGGGAGCCGGGCTCCTGGCGGGGCGTGTCACGGTTCATGCGGCTCCTTTCTAGCTGGGTTGGTGCGTGTGTGCGCCCTGTGCTGGCCGAGCGGGAGTCAGTGGCTCAGGGCCGCGTTTGTTTCTGGAGTGTTTGCGGGTGGGCGTGTCTGCCTCCGTGCACGTCCTCTGACCTCGGTGTGTGAATGTCTGGTGTCTTCTTCACTGCCAACCGAGGAGAGGAGCTCTTGGAGGTCGAGCCTGCTGTCTCCTCTCTCTGGAGCACAGCCCAGTACGTGCCGCATTTCGCGTCCTGCGCCCCTCTCAGTGTCTTGGCTCCGTGTTTCTCAGCGGGCCGTGCTTCTCTGCCTGGTTGGAGGAGCCGGTTTCTCCGCTCTCGCTGTCGCCGCTGTGGGCGGAGGCGCCGCCGCCTGGGCCGGAGGTGGGCGCTGTTTGTCCAGGAAAGGAGTGCAGTTGGTCCAGGCCTGGCTGCAGGTAAATCCTAGCCTGCGCTCGGGCCGCCCTAGACCACAGCCCCTGCCTTAGATCGGGCATGGGAGCAGGGACAACAAGTGCGCAGGGAACTGGACAGGGGTGGGGGCACTGGTGTTTGCTGTTACCTGCTTGATCTCATTCCCTTCTTTCTGTTCTACCTTGCTCTAGGCTGGCTCTGGAACCTGGGTTCCGACCGCTCGCCAGTCACTTCCTCCTCAGGGTCTGAAACGCTCTCCGCCCCTGATGTCTGCCCAGCCCAGGTCCCTTTCCTTTCCCCTGCCTTCCTTCCTGTATCTGTGGACTAGACTTTGAGGCCAGGAGTGCTGAGGATAGAGGGCACAGCTGGTGGCACAGAATGTGGGGATTTCTCCCAGGAGGAATTGGCAGGACAATGGGTGTAAGGAAGAGGTAGGTTGGTGAGGGCTCCTGGCTGGCCCTCCCTCCCCCAGCCTGCTGAGCTCGGAGTCCTCCTTCTGCCAAGGGTTATAGCTTGGCTGCTGGTTTCTTGGGTACCTGCAAAGATAGGGTGACTCAGTGAAGGCTCTGATCTGGGTCCAGAAGGTTGGAGTTCGTGCTAGGGGAAACTTTGTGCTGGAAATAGGTCTTTTGGGAGTCTCCTATTCTTAGGTGTAATAGAGGAGGGAGAAGGCCGAGCTCTTGGGCCTGATGATCCAAGTATAAGTATGCCTTAAGGTGTTTATACAAACCGAGTTCTGAATGTTTTTTGGGAGTTGTAGCAAGTGGGCATGAGGTTGCTGTTGCCCATTATGGGAATTGCTGCTTCCCGCCTTGGCAGATAACCATGGTCAGATGTCCACTAGGGTCCTGGAGGAGGAATCCTGTCCTTGGTGTGTGGTCCCACCATCCGTCCCTGCCCCCATATTGCCCACCCCTGGATTTCTTTTGTGTGCCCTCATGAAACTGGGCTCCAGCCAGGTGATGCTAGGCCTTGTTAGGCAGTAATGACTGTACCTTGAGTGGGGATCTGGGTGACACAAGCTTGTCCAGTTCCTGCCACAATTTTCAAAGTGCCTCTTGCTCCCTTGGTACATTCCCACACACTTGTCTCTGTGGACATTCTTTCTTTGTGCTGGGGAGCTGGGGACAGAGTGGGGAAGCACATATTTCCTGCACCCAGAAGCTCACGGTGTGTTGGGACCCTGCCTATGTTCCACAGTTCTAGCCGATTTTGCCATTTGGGAATGAAAATCCTAGTGTTGTAGATATGCTGAGTTTTTTAAAAGAGGAGTCCCAAATCTGGACTGTAATGGAAAATTTGATTTTTAACTGTTGTTAACTAATCAAGCAATTTACCAACATATTAAAAGCCCAACAAAAATAGCTATGGGTCATTCAACCTTTAAGCCCCAATGCAACTTTGTCCTGGAGACACAGGGCTCTACCCAGGGACTTTTTCTGATAGAAACCTTGTTTTTCTAGGTCTCAGTTTCTCTATTAGTAGAACTGGAAAAATACCTCAGGCTCCAAGGATTGCAGGCTGACACAGTCTCACAGTGGAGTGTGAGAGTGTGTGTGAATGTCTGCACTAGGTAGTTGGATTCTGGTGGCTGAAAGGTAGCGGGGTACTGACCGGCTGTTGCTTAGCTGCCTGTGGCTAACCAGAAAGTGTGTGCTGGTTAAAGCTGGTGTATGCTTTCAAATTATGAGTTGTGTGAGCAGAAATCCATAGTGTTATTCCATGTCCTTGTGCAGAACCTTGGATGTCTATGAGGGGTGGGACCAACCAGCCCTCTAGGGCCTCAGGGAGTTCAGAACAGTGCTCAGAGGCTGCTTTTCCCTAGCCTGGAGCTTGGCTGGGCAGGCACTCAGCTTTCTGGGAGTCCTTCCTTCTCTGCTCTGTGGGGTGCTGTCCATCTGTGGCTTGGCCCTGCTTGATTGATATCTTGTCTTTCTTGGGCCTGGATGTTCATTGCAATAGGACGTGGGTGGTGGATGCAGTTTGGGTGGGAAAGGAAAAGACTTTTGGGGGTAAGGGAGAGGGCAAAGATGAAGGGGGCAAAGGCAGACTGGATTTTAATCTCCATCATGGACTGGAGAAGCTCCTAGTGATCCCCTGTGGATCGGAGATTGAGCTGATTCTATCTCTGTTGTGGTCTAAGAGACAGCACTGTACCTGGTCCAGTGCTCCATTCCTGCTCCAAGCCAACCTCATCCACAAAGCACAGAAAAGCAGTCACCTCTAGGACCAAAGAGTCCAGATACCTCGCCTCATTTTATCTGTCCTTTGGGAGCTCATGGCGGCTATATGAATGGGTGTCTATGCTCAGGCTCTCTCTCTTTCAGATGCACACATGTGGGTTCTAGTGTCACCATCATCTTGCATAGCTCTCTCCCTGCTGGGGTCTGAGGTGCACTTCCAGATCACTCCAGATGGCTGTTCAGGGGAAGCTACCTCCATGGGGCTCTGGCGTCCAAGGCTGCCTATGCCTCTGGGGCTGAGGAACGTTCCTCTGGCAGAAAAAGTCTAGCTCATGCCTCCGTGTGCTGCTCTCAGGGTGAGCCCAGGGGCTCGTGCTCTTGAGACATGAGCCAGTGTGGGACTCTGCCTCTGCGAGCTGGCTTCTGACTCTGTGAGGCCTAAGCCCTGAGCATACCCCAACTGAGAGTGTGAGGCAAGTGAGAGAATAGGCTTCTGCCTGCAGTTCTGTTTATAAGTCCCCTCCCCAAATCCCACGTGCTGTGAGTGTGGCCAGCTTTTCAACTAACGTGTGCTAATGACCACCATGTTTGTCTTTGCGCCTCTTCTGGTCACCATGTTCCACAAGGGGGCAGAGTTCAGAGCCACGGACAAGGATGTAGTGTCTTGGCCTCGGGTGGGGCTCTGGCTCCTCTGTGGCTCCCTGACCTCCACCATGTACGTGTGTTTTGACCTTTTCTGCCTGTGCAGCCTAAGCATAAGCTCCGTCTGGCTGGGTCTTGAGTTTGGCTGCCGGAGGAGGCTGTGCATGCTGGCTTGTTTACAGGTCCTTGGACAGCCTCCTCCTGCTGCTGCTGCTGCCGTTTTAATCTGTGGCCTTGGAGTTTCTCCCTGCCTTTCTTCCCTTCTCTGGGGGAGTGCAGCCTCTGTGCTGGATTAGGGTTTCCCTGCATTGGGGTCTCACCCACTCCCCAGCGATGTGGTCAGTTGTGGTCAGACCGCCCTGTTACAGCGCCATGAAGACTGTTTTCAAATCCTGCTTGCCTCACTTGCAATGTGACCCTGGGGGAGTCCTGGCCCTGCTCTGAGCTTTTATTGCTTTATCTGTTAAAAGGAAACAATCATAGTACCTGCTTCATAGGATTATTATGAGGATTAATTGAGTGAGATGTGCATAAATTGTCTATGGAAGGCCTGTGGTAGGTTTTCAGTAAACATTAAATCCCTCTCCTTTCCTTGATCCAGCTGTGAATTCATCTCAGCTTTTCTTGAGGCTGTTGATGTTTTCAGCTGCATCATTTCTTAAGCTAGTGAATTTTGTGAGAGGGGACCCTCACTGACCTTTACAATGTTTTTAGCTTTTTACTTAGCTCCCCCACCCCCGATGACAAAAGAAATGCATTGCTACAATGAGCATGAGTTAATTTAAAAATGTAAAAAGAGAAAGGGCAATGCATGTTCATTCTATAAAATGTGGAATGTACAGGAAAGAGACAGGGCAATTTATATTTGGGAGAAATGAGATTTATAACCTTGCAGTTCACCCAAACCTTCCTTACTTCCAGGTCTTACTTGATTTTCAGCAGGAGGTTCTGTCAGACTCATCATTAAAATGATGAAAAATGTAAATAACTTCTTTCAGACTGAAAAAATGTTTTAAAATAAAGTTTTTTTAGATTAAAAAAAGAGAACAAAATCATTGTGAATTCTACCTTTGTTGTTTGCTTCTAGTTTTTTTTTCTCTACCATATTTTATAAATGCTAAGAGCTCCCATTCTGTTCAGTTGTATGTCTTCCTTTTTTCATTTAACATATTATTGACTTTTTCTGAAATCACCATGAACTATTTGTAAACATTACTTTTAGTGGCTGCATATATTTTCCAATGTTCAAAAAACTTATTTCTTAAAAAATGGAATAATTTATGCTGAGATATGCTTAAGTATTATGGAAGAAAATAAGAAACTACTTTGAGTTTTGGCCCTATGATTTATACCTACAATTTCTTCATGCCGATTTGTATAAGCTCCTTACAAACTACCTTTTAAGCTAGTTGGTTAGTTTTTTTATGTTTATGTAAAAAAGTGGATCACACTTAATGAATGTGTGTTTGATGAAGATTTAAAGTTAGCAAATAATTATAGAAATT